AAACCGGCCCTAAGAGCAAACAGGAAATCACTTCCAGTTTGCTCATAGGGTCGTTTTTTTGCCCTCCAGAGCCTTCAGGGAAGCCTCCTGAGGGCTCCTGAATGCTTTGGAGGGCTAAAACCGGCCCTAAGAGCAAACAGGAAATCACTTCCAGTTTGCTCATAGGGTCGTTTTTTTGCCCTCCAGAGCCTTCAGGGAAGCCTCCTGAGGGCTCCTGAATGCTTTGGAGGGCTAAAACCGGCCCTAAGAGCAAACAGGAAATCACTTCCAGTTTGCTCATAGGGTCGTTTTTTTGCCCTCCAGAGCCTTCAGGGAAGCCTCCTGAGGGCTCCTGAATGCTTTGGAGGGCTAAAACCGGCCCTAAGAGCAAACAGGAAATCACTTCCAGTTTGCTCATAGGGTCGTTTTTTTGCCCTCCAGAGCCTTCAGGGAAACCTCCTGGAGGCCCCTGAAAGCTCCGGAGGGCTAAAACCGCCCCTATGAGCAAACCGGAAGTCCGTTCCCAAACTTCTGGTTTGCCCATAGGGCTGGTTTTTCACGCTCCGGAGGCTTCAGGGAGGCAGGGGAGGCTCCGGGGAGCAGGGGAGGCTGTTTTCGCCCTCCCCAGGGTCCTATAAAGCCTCTGGAGCCTGGGGATGGCAAAAAAAGCATGCCAAAAATAGGGGGGAACGCTGGTTGTGTGTGCTTGCGCACTGGGGTGGTGCGCAAAGCATTATGGGTGTGGCACGCCCATGCACGACCCCCCCACTTTTGGCATGTGAGCCAAAAAAGGTTTTTCATCACTGCTATAGACCTTGAACTGTTAGCCAGTGGAACAGACAGCCACATGAATACCCTGTTTCCCCAAAAATAAGCCTTCCCTGGATAATAAGCCCAATCGGGCTGTTGAGCACATGCGCTAACATAAGTCCTCCCCCTAAAATAAGCCCTCACTTAAAATATTTAAATGTAGGCGCAACCAGTCCCCACCATTTCCTGGGGGGAAAGGGGGAGGAAACATGCCCCAAGCACCCCACATGCACCTGCCATCCACGTGGAATAGCCTCACAGAGGCTGCTACTGCACTCTAGCTACTTCTCTTAATGGCGGCTGCAAAAAAGAGTAGCAGGCCCAGCGACGCTAGTGCTGGCAAGAATGTACCAGAAACAGGCACAGAACCTCTGGATCAGCTGATCTGCAGGCCACGGTTATGTGGCATCCTGCAGCTCAAAAATAATAAGACCTCCCCCAAAATAAGGCCAAGCACCTATTTTGGGGGTTAAAAGAAAATAAAACCCTGTCTTATTTTTGGGGAAACACGGTAGCGACCGTATTTTTTGGAGTATAAAATGCACCAATCTGGGTAAATCTTATACACTGAATACAGCATTTTTTGCCTCCTGAAACCCCGCCCCCTTCAGAAAAATGGCCATGCATAGCTTTTAAAAGTCTTTCAGAGAGCTCCTGTGGGCTGGGGAGGGCAGAAATGAGCAAAAAATTCCCCCCCCCGGCCCCCAGCAATACTCTATAAGCTTCCTAAATGNTCTACCAAATAGGTGCGAACTGGTAGGAACCCACCTCTGCCACCGACGCACCTCACTTGTGTGCGTTGTCCCTGGCCTCCTTTTCGCTGTCAGAGGCCTTCAGGAACTTCTGCAGCTGACAAGGCTTTCCTGAAGGCATCTGTAGCCGAGAACAAAACTCTGGATCGATCCGGAGCTCTGTAGAAGTGGGCTGAGGTGTGCAAATCCTGGCGACTATCCAAAGGTAACTAGTAGGACAGCTCCACCATCACCCCATTCCCACCATAGCTTAATTTTTACCCATGCACCCTGGAGTGAGCGGGGTCTTAATTAGGGCTTATTCTGGGGGTAGGGCTTACATTGGGTACACGTGTAAAAATGAAGCTCCGACTTACTTTCTGAGGACGTCACATTTTCGGGGGAAACACGGTAGATGCAAGCTGGGTGTCAAGAAGGATAAACTATAGACCTGTGATGGCGAACATATGACATGCATGCCACAGGTGGCACACGGAGCCATTTGTCAGGGCACGCAAGGCTTGTCCCGTAAGCTGGCCAGTGACTTCCGGGTTGCTCATGGGGCCGGTTTTAGACCTCCAGAGCCTTCAGGGAAGCCTCCTGAACGCTTTGGAGGGCTAAAACCGGCCCTCAGAGCAAACAGGAAGTTATTTCCGGTTTGCTAATAGGGTCGTTTTTTGCCCTCCGGAGCCTTCAGTGAAGCCTCCTGGAGGCCCCTGAAGGCTCCGGAGGGCTAAAACCGGCCCTACAAGCAAACCGGAAGTCCGTTCCTAAACTTCTGGTTTGCCCATAGGGCTGGTTTTTCATGCTCTGGAGACTTCAGGGAACCTCCTGCAGCCTCCAGGGAGCGGGGGAGACTGTTTTCGCCCTCCCCAGGCTCCTATAAAGCCTCTGGAGCCTGGGGATGGCAAAAAAAAGCCAAAAATAGGGGGGAACGCTGGTTGTGTGTGCTTGTGCACTGGGGTCATGCGCAAAGCATTATGGGTGTGACATGACGCCCCCCGCTCCCCACGCTTTTGGAATGTGAGCCAAAAAAGGTTTGCCATCACTGCTATAGACCTTGAAGAGTTAGCCAGTGGAACAGACAGCCACATGAATACCCTGTTTCCCCGAAAATAAACCTTCCCTGGATAATAAGCCCAATCGGGCTGTTGAGCGCATGCGCTAACATAAGTCCTCCCCCTAAAATAAGCCCTCACTTGAAATATTTAAATGCAGGCGCAACCGGTCCCCACTATTTCCTGGGGGGAAAGGGGGAGGAAACATGCCCCAAGCGCCCCATATCCACCTGCCATCCACATGGAATAGCCTCACAGAGGCTGCTACTGCACACACTAGCTACTTCTCTTAGTGGCGGCTGCAAAAAAGAGTGGCAGTCCCAGCGACGCTAGTGCTGGCAAGAATGTACCAGAAACAGGCACAGAACTTCCGCCCCACTCTGGATCAGCTGATCTGCAGGCCACGGGCCATGGTTATGTGGCATCCTGCAGCTCAAAAATAATAAGACCTCCCCCAAAATAAGGCCAAGCGCCTATTTTGGGGGTTAAAAGAAAATAAAACCCTGTCTTACTTTTGGGGAAACACGGTAGCTACCATATTTTTGGGAGTATAAGATGCAGCAATCTGGGTACATCTTATAGACTGAATACAGCATTTTTTGCCTCCTGAAACCCCGCCCACTTCATCAAAATGGCCGTGCGTAGCTTTTAGAAGGCTTTCAGAGAGCTCCTGGGGGCTAGGGAGGGCAGAAATGAGCAAAAAATGGCCCATTCCCCCGCCCGGGCCCCCAGCAATACTCTATAAGCTTCCTAAATGTTATCAATGCCCCTTTTTTTGACAAAAAATGGGGCATTTTTTGCTTCCCCCCCCCCCGGAGCATTCTACAAGCCTCCTAAGGGGTATTCATGCCCTTTTTGGGGGGAAAAACAGGCCCGTTTTCTCAAAAAACAGGGCGTTTTTGGGAGGTTTGCAGAGTGCAAAAACTTTTCTTTTTAATTTTCCTCTTTAAAACCTTGGCGCATCTTATACTCCAGTGCATCTTATACTCCGAAAAACAGGGTAGTCTTCATTAAAGATCTTCAAAGAATAGAGCTAGATGTGTTCCAGTGCATTCTTCCTTGAGCAGCTAACATCTAAAGTTTCTTTCAATGATCCTGACTAACCAAAAGTTCTTCAGCCAAAGAACACGGGTTGCAAAACTTCCATTCCTCCCTTCTTTTTCAAGTGAAGCTGAGTGTACTTGCCTCTTTTAAAACGGAGCTTTATTTAGTACGCCGTCCGACAGGAAATAATTTAAAGCACGCTTCATGCTAGCACCCTGCTACCCCTCCGTCCGCCCAGACCGCATAGCCCATGACGTACAGTGGGAGAGGCTATGCGAGGCCGCAAGCTCCCACTGAGAGCCACGAGGCTCGAGGAATGGGAAGAAGCCAAGATGAGGATCTCTTAGCTATCAAATACATAGAAGTCAGCATGACGACCGCAACACTTTTTTAGCCATGGGATAGTGCCCGTCATTGGAAAAATAAGATGTGAATGAGATCTCTGCTCCTATTACAGTGCTTAACATTCCTAGGAATTTGAAAATGCATTGAGAGCTTTTTTTGGGGGGTGGGGGGCTGATTTGTAACTATAGTTGGCTTCCCATGTCTTCTTCCCTCCCTCTTTCCAGCCCAACCAAGCCAAGTGGCATGCCCCAAATTCTCCCTCTCCAGCATCAGGAATGAAGAAAAACCAATTCTATCTTGTCCTTGGTCATCTTCCTTCTTCATTGCTTCCTTGGACTTCGAGTTGTTTTTTTTGTAAACAAAGGAAGAAGCCTCCCAGGACACAACTTCCGGCCCTGTCCTGATCTTCTGGTGCACGGGAGTTGGGATGAAGTCCCTTTCTCGTTTCAAATCTTGAGTCCCCCCCACCCATTCTTCCGAAATCAAATTCGGAAAGAACCTGGCAGATTGTAGCCCAAGGAAGGGGTTTGGCAGAAAATCGGGCGCGGAAGAGAAAATCAGGAGCTGGAATTTTGGACAGGTTTCTATCCATCTTGGGGTGTTGGAGAAGACTGCAAGGAGATCCGATCTGAAAATTCTGAAGGAGATCAACCCTGACTTTCGTTGGAAAACCAGAAGCTGTAGCTCTTGTCTTTTTAACAAGGGATTGGACAATCATTTTGTCTGAAATGGCATAGGGTTTCCTGCTTGAGCAGAGGGTTGGACTAGAAGACCTCCATAGTCCCTTCCAACTCTGTTACTCTGAAGTTCAAATACTTTGCCGCCAAATGAGAAGAAAGGACTCTGTTAAAAAGGCTTTGATGTTGGGAAAGACAGAGGATGAAATAGAAATAGCACTTAGACTTATATACCACTTCACAGTGCTTTCTAGCCCTCTCTAAACGGTTTACAGAGTCAGCACATTGCCCCCAACAATGTTGGGTCCTCATCTTACCCACTTTGGAAGGATGGAAGGCTGAGTCAATCTTGAGCCTGGTGAGATTCGAACTGCCAGATTGCAGGCAGCCGTCAGTCAGCAGAAGTAGCCTACAGTACTGCATTCTAACTATTGTGCCGCCATGGCTCTTATAGTCCTCAACTGCATCACTGTTTGGTTTGGTGACAGCAGGGCCTCAGATAGAAAGTCCATACAGAGAGTGGTGAGGACAGCGGAGAAGATTATAGGAAGCCCGATTCCCGTTATTCAGGACACTGCTTATAAGAGCTATGTGCTTAGAGCTCGAAGCATTGTTAGAGACCCCACATACCCACTTTATGATTTGTTGCTCCCCTCTGGGAGAAAGTCATTTTGATTGGTCCCCCTCATCAAAAGGTTAGATGATGTCATCAACGCAATGAACAATAATTTGGATAAGCTCCAGGAGGGTGGGGCGTGGCATGCTATGGTCCACGAGGTCGCCAAGAGTCGGATGCAGTGTAGCAACCAAACAACCACCTCCAATTCATTCTGTGGAGAGACTTAGCCCAACAATGCTCATCCTCTTTTGTGTGTGTGTGGGGGGGGGGTAAGAATTCTTTAGGGGCTCGGAGCAGATCTGGATCAAGTAACGACTGGCCGAAGAGTGGAATGACCTCTGTGTTTCTCCAATCTTGGGACAACAGGAGACGAGGGAAAAGAAGGGCAACAGTGGCTCTTGATGCTAGTGGTGCCCAACGAGGAAGGGCGGAGCAGTAAGATGAGTCCATTTGCGCCTGGAAACCAGTTGTCGCTTTCTCTGCTTTTGAAGGCACTTAGTGGCAATGAAGCTGGAGGGAGGGAGGGAGGGAGGGAGGGAGAGAGAGAGAGAGAGAGAGAGAGAGAGAGAGTCCATCCCCTCTTTTCGGCACCTCTCCTCGTGTGCTGGCCACCATGGTGCCCTCAACGATCCATGGGCCGGAGGGGAGGAGGAGCCAGGGGATTCCAGCGTTAGGGGTCCACAAAGGAAACCATGATGTAGCGAGTGCCCCAAGTGGTGGGCAGGCCTTCGTGGTAGTGGGTGAGACGTCCTGGGTGGATCAGGCTCCAGCCCTTGCGGGGAGATTCCACTTTGCAATTGTAGCGGAGAAATCGGCAGCCGCCTCCCTGGAGGGGGGCAAAGAGAAACGGTTTAGAGAGACAAGAGACCAAATGATCATACATTTATAGCAGGGGTATTAAACCCAATTTCACTGAGGTCCGCATCAGGGTGGTGTTTGACCTCGGGTGGCTGTGGCCAGCTCAACGTCATTTGTGTCGGGGGCGCCTTTGGTGGCCCAAGCACTCTGCCAGCGAAAATGGGCTCCCGAGCTCCATTTCTGGCTGCGATGGCCTCCTGCAACCCTTTGCCAGCAAAAATGAAGCCCAGGAGAGCCACACACAGCCCTCGCGAGCTCTGTTTTCAGCTGCGATAGCCTCCATTTTTGCTGGCAGAGGCACCGCAGGGCAGTTCTTCACTGTCTCCAGGGTGGGCCAGATCTAAGCACCCCGCGAGCTAGATCCGGCCCCAGGGCCTTGAGTTTGACACCCCTGGTTTATAGGCATTATGCAAAGATTAGACCCTCTTGAGATGTCTATCATCCTTGGAAAAAATGGAAGGAAAGAGAAGAAGGTAACCAGCAGCAAGATAGATGGATGCCATGGCCTTGGGTGCACCATTGGAAGACCTGAAAGATCAGGTTGGAGAGTGACCATCCTGGAGAAGATCTAACTCTGTAGTTGTTAAGAATCAACACTGAACACATGGCCCATTATGCATCCATCAGGCAAATATAAACTTATGAAGACGGATACACGTGTCCCAGGATAACGTTGCAGGATGCAATCTGCAATCCACACTGCAATGAACAAGGACGTGCTTTCAATTTTTGCAGCTACTCAGATTGTTGGACGAGCAGGCACAAAAACAGTCAGGGAAGGGATTGAAGCCTGGGAAACCTCATCAATCAACACAGAGGGCTGATTTACCACTAGCTTTTCAGGTACTTAGGACGGGAGGCCTTGGCAGCACAAGCAAACAACAGCCAACGACTTGATAGCCAGCCATCAACACCCCAATCAACAAAGCCACACACAATGGGCACCATTTGGGCACACACAACAGCCCAAAGCACACACACACTGCGAGTGAGAAGTTCCCTGAAGATGGGCTCCAGCACGAGTCCCAAAGCTCAGAAGACAGAACCTCTTGTCCCGTGATCGACCCAGATTATATCCCAAAACATACACTTAGTTCGCGCAATGCAGCCAAGTTCAAATCAATTCACCCTTGAAGCCCTAAGTCCCTTTCCTCATTCTCTTCACAGCCCCAAAGCCTCCAAGACCAAGCCGTGCAGAGGGTGCTCCAGCACTTCACACAGGCTTACTCACCTTGTAATCTATCCCTTTGTGGTTAAGAGCAACATTGATGGTGAAAGTGGAAGAATCATGATGGGGGCGAAGAGAAGGCTGCTCGTCCGGACGGTATCGGACCATGAAGTTCATGATTGCGCGAGCCTGAAAACAGGAGATTGGAGTTAGCGCCTTCTGGGTGAAGGCAGGGTGGAGAACGGCACATTGTCTACACACCTGTTCTGACCCAGCTTCCCAACCACGACAAAACCTCTGAAGTTAACTCAAGGATCCCTTTATTGGCCAGCAGCCTTGGCCAAAAGCTTCTCTTTCATTGCAGGCTAACTAGTCCGTCCATCCAGGAGATGAATAGTTGTATGCCACACCTATTCATCTCCGCCCCCTGCCTTTTATCCCCAGAGCTAGGGTGGGTCTTCTCTAGCAGCAGTGGCTCTTCCGTCCCAAGGATCAGCCCATGGATTTCCACTGGTCTCCTCTCCTCTGCCTTCTGTGCATCCGTACATCAAGCACTGGAACCAGCTGTTCCTCTTCTTCATCAGCCACCTCCAGGCCTGGGGGCTGTTGACTCTCCATCTGAGGGCTGACGGGTGGCCCAGGCTCCACTTCTGTCTCTCTCTCTCTCTCTGCCAGCTCCATTCCCTCTTCTCCCTTGGAGCTCGCAGGTTGCCCTGATGTTGACCCTAACTCCCATGCCGCCGCCTCCTGATTTGGCTGCTGGAGGGGCCGGCGGCCAACAGGCCACAACAACACCTGCCTAAAATAAGGCAATCATATTCACTCCAGGTACAACACACCCAAGTTGTGTTCTTGCTAGTGTCAGCTCTCAAAAATCTAAGTGTAAGAGTAGATGACAGCACCAGGCTGACCTTGAAAAAAGGCGGGAGTGGGATTTGGGAGTTCTCTGAACTGCACAGAATCTTAGCCAGAGGTTCTCCCGAGCCCCTGAAAACTCCCAGCAGCCCACTCCTGGCAATAACCTGGAATGAGAGGAACTTACAACCAGTTCTCGGAGTTCCAGCTTTGTAGTCATCCTGCAATTTCAATGTCTGATGTTTCCTGCTGGCTTCTCCTAAGCAAAGTCAATGGGGAAGCCAGCAGGAAGTCAAAAGTGGCAGTCACATAAGATCCTCAACCACCCTAGTAATCCTCACTTAATGGCAACACCTGGAACTGCCGGAAGCAGCATTATTAAGTGACAGTCACATGACAAATGTGGGGGATGGGGTAAGCAACTGTTGCAGCCTCAATTAATTTGTAGCAATGGCAAAAGACATCCTGTAGGATCTTCTGCTTCCTGTACCTACACTCGGCCCCCAGTAACCTTCAGACATGGTGTTGTTACCTTGGTGTGGTAGCCTGGATAGAACTTTTCTGTGACCGGTGCAATGTAGTCCTGCAAGAACTGCAGCCATTCCTTCTCAAAGCCGATTTGGTTCATGTGAATGTCAACGGTGGGGACGTTCTCGTAGCCGCCAACCAGCCGAGTGTCCTAGAAGGGAGGTGCAGAATTAGAGGAATTGTGCTAGGATCTGAAAATGAGTTTGAGAGACAGAAGGGAGAGCCGTAGCCTAGGCCAGAGGTGTCAAATGCAAGGCGCGCGACCCAGATCTGGCCCGTGATGTGGTCAGATCCGGTCCGCGGGGCCATCCTAGAAAATGTAAGGGACCGGCCTGTATTGCTTCAACCCGATCTACCCAATGCAAAGAGGAAACATGCCAGCAGTTTGGGAAGTGGCGTCAAGATGGCCATGCCCAGCCAGTTGATCACATCCACCCAGTCACCCATGCCTAGTGAGTGGTGTCAAGCTGGCCACACCCATCCAGTCGACCACGTCCCACTCTTCCCTCCCCTTGAGGTCAACCACAGTCCTGATGCAGCCCTCAATGAAATTGAGTTTGGCACCCCTGGACTAGTTGGTGGTCAGATAAGGCAGCGGCCCCCAACTTTTTGGGCAACAGGGACTGGTTCAGAGATGGGTTCCTACCGGTTCGGCCGGGTTCGGCTGAGTAGGTAGTAACTCGGCCATCCACACTCCTGAACCGGTTCTATCTTGTTTTTTGCTTCTG